GATGGGATTTCCTCCCGATAGTCAAGAAAATGATGCAGACGGCACAAATAAGTAAGCCAGGTACTGTTGTTTGCGAAAAGACATGACTGAAGAGTTATTTCAGCTCGAAGACCAGTCATCATCAGTATGCTAGTCGCAGTATCGTTGAGTCAGCCATGACTAACCTTACCCCAATTTTTTCGAAGCTGAGTCAGAACCTCAGATTTCGCTAAGGTGCCGTCTCTAGGGGTTATTTGACCCCCTGAACACGAATATGATACCTGTTTTGCGCGAAGAGCGCTGTGAGTCGCGCTACAGGTGCCAACGCTTCGGCGCCAGCGCGCCCGGAAGAAGAAAAACAGTAAAGAAACCTCCATAACTCCGCTCAGAGAATCGTTCCGCAAATTTTGAAGATAGTTTTGAGTTCACCGTCTCAAGACGAGTACAATGATGTGCACCTCATTGCATATGGCCAGGCTGACCTGTTGACCTTCCCTGGTGAGAGCGTTCCAGAATACGTTCCACCGTTCCACAACCCTTTATCACCGACGAGAACCTGGTTCAAGATACTGTTGAATTCCCAAATGACGGTTGCAAAACTTCTGCAACGACGAACGATAAGGCGAAGCCGTTCGATAGCTACATTCAGCTATCTATGTTTTTGGGGCACTGATACAGACACCGCGCGAAGCAACCGCACAACTACAACAGTGGGCTCACTCCACTCAAAAATGACACAAAAGCGCCATGTAGTCTTAGAACGACATCAGCTACAACATAAGTTGACACAACTCACTAATAAAGACTAGTCGTGGCAAATTGCAGTTATCTTTTCCAAGAACAACGGGATGATCGGACTCGATAAGGTCAGCGAGATAACCATATATGTGCGGTGCCTCAGTAGTGTCTTCGTGAGTTGGCAACCAAGACAGAAACGCTGGTACAACCTGGAAACTTGCGAGGAATAGTTTCAAACTTCTGTGGATCTTTGAGAAACCTGGGTACATCGAGTCTTAAATGATGATTACGAATAGCAGGGTAATGACATTGGTTACAGGAGAAAATTTCGAGCCAATCTGGGTTCTGTTCCAAACTTCGAATTTTCGAATAGGTTCTGAGTATCGTTAAGGGGTATATATTATGCTGTCCGGAAAGTTCTCAGCGTTTTGTGTTACCATTCATTGCTGATTAAAAACTCATTCTCCCTTGCGTCTCAGTAGTACATCCTGAAGAGAATTCTTTGCGCTATCTGATGGTATAATTGCCGTTTCACCATTGCTTGATAAACCCCCTTTTCCCAAGACTTTTTGAAGCATGTCAAAAGAGCAACTTCGGACGATTTTTTTCTTCGACTATAAATTGGGTCAATCCGCAATCGAGACAGCTCAACAAATTAACCAGGTGTGGGGGCCCAATAGTGCTAGAGAAAGCACTGTGCGGCAATGGTTCAACAAATTTCGTTCTGGAGATTTCAGCCTTGAAGATGAACCTCGTAGCGGTCGACCTAAAGCAATACTGACGAGGATTTGAAGGCGTTTGTGGAGAGCTGACCATTCCAAACAGTTCGACGAGATTGCAGAAGCTAGGCGTTTGGCAAATTTCAGTTGCAGATGGTCTGAAACGCATTGGGAGGTGAAAAACTCGATAAGTGGGTGCCCCAATTTGAGTGACCGGCAGAAATTGGCACGTCTCGAGGTTTCCTCTTCACTGCTTTTGCGCAACAGAAACGACCCGTTTTTGGACCGAATTGTCACCTGTGAGATTGGAAATATGTCGTATGATAACAGGAGACGTTACCGGACAGTAGTTGGATGCCGACGAACCACCGAGGCAATTTCCAAAGCCGAATCTTCACCAAAAAAGGTTATGGTCACAGTGTGG